TTAGCATACAGATTGAATAAGTATAGGGAGAAGATACAGCTCTGACACACACACCTTTCCTGATTTTCAACCATACAGTATTCACTTTTTCTGTTTGCCCAACTGCCTCTTGATCCCTGTACCAGGGCTGTGTGAGCACAATCAAGTCTTTTGGAATTCCCATTCTTCTCAAAGATATTCATAGTTTTTTATGGTCCACACAATTGAATGCCTTGACATAGTCAATGAAACACAAGTAAACATCTTTTTGGTTATTCTCTGCTTTTAGCCATGATCTGTTGGACATCAGCAATGATATCCCTTGTTCCATGTCGTCTTCAGAATCTGGCCTGAACCTCGGGCAGTTCCCTGCCAGTGTACTGCTGCAATCATTGTTGTATTAACATCAGCAACATTTTACTTCTGTGATATCAATGATACTGTTCTATAGTTTGAGAATTTTGTTGGATGACCTTTCTTTGGAATGGATACAAATATGGATCTTTTCCACTCAGTTGGCCAAAATAGCTGTCTTCCAAATTTCCTAGCATGGACAAGTGAGTGCTTCTAGTGCTTTACCAGCTTGTTGAAGCATTTCAATTGGTATTCCATCAATTCCGGAGCCTTGTTTTTCAGTTAGTGCTTTCCGTGAGCATGAGCTTCTTTCTTCAGCACCACTGGTTCTTGCTTATGTGCTATCTTGAAATGGTTCTTTTTGATGAAGCGAGTGACACTATTCTTTCCATCTTTTCTTGATGCTTCCTGAATCATTCAATATTTTGCACTTAGAGTCTTTAAATATTGCAATTTGAGGCTTGAATTTTTTCTTGAGTTCTTTCAATTTCAGTTATGCTGAACATGTTCTTCCTTTTTGATTTTGTGATTCTAAGTTTGCATATTTCAGTTAATATTTGGTTTTGTCTTCTCAAGCTGCCCTTTTGAATTTCTATTCAGCTCCTTGACTTCATCCTTTCTGCCATTTGCTGTAGTTATTCTATGATTAAGAGCAAATTTCAGAGGGTCTTCTGACATCTACTTTGATCTTATATTTTCCCCCTTTTTTTCTTTATAATGACCTTTTGCTTTCTTTATAAATGATGTTCTTGATGCATCCCACAACTCACCAGGCCTTCTGTCATTAGTGTTCAGAGCGCCAATTCAATTCTTGAAATAGTTCAAAATTCAGGTGTGATAGATTCAAGGTCATATTTTGGCACTTGTGGACTTGTTTTATTTTTCTTCATCTTTATATTGAACTTACATATGAACAATTAATGGTCTGTTCCATATTCAGTCCCTGGTCTCATTTTAGTTGCTGATATTGAGCTTCTCCATCGTATCTTCCCACAGATGTAGTCAATTTGATTTCTGTGTATTCTGTTTGGGGAGGTCTGTGTGTATAGTCACCTTTTGTGTTTTTAGAAAAAGTTATTTGCTATGAACAAGTCTTTGGTTTTGCCAAATTCTATCATGGTGTTATGCTTGGATGACATCAATTAACACCCCCCACAACTTTAATTAAAGTTAATCTGTCTAATTGACCCTGGAACACGAGTGCTTAAAGAAGGAGGTTTTAATACTGTGGAATAAACAAGGCCCAAGGGGAGGTGGCATCACGATATGAAAAAAATGAGAACTCCTAAAATTACCATATGGGTTTGCAAGCAACACCAGCCACTTCAAAAGCAAATGGCCACAGGTCAGCAGTTACAGAAGTTACAAACGGAAGGAAGTACAATAGTTACAAAGTGGCCACACTTGGGTCAATACAAAATGACTACAATTCAGGCTAATTAATACAGTATGGTTACATTGTTAAAAGGCCACATCTACGTTAACTGCAACATTATGGTTATATTTGGGGTTAATTGTGGTGGATTACTTCAGTGGGATTTCCATCTTCTTTTTTATCACCAAGACCATATTTTCCAACTATTGTTCCTTTCTCTTTGTTTTCAACTTTTGCATTTCATTTGCCAATAATTATTGTGCATCTTGATTTCATGTTTGATTTGACTGATATGGGTGGTAGAACTCTTCAATTTCTTCATCACTAGCTTTTGTGTTCCATTCATCAATTTGAAGTTTAGTTGTATTTATTGGATTTCCTCAAAAAGAGAAAGGTAATAATCCTGTAATGGATAACATTGTACTTCATAATTTACTTTTGCAATGCCCTTTTGGACAAAGAATGCCATACCTTTCCTCTTTATTTTGTTATTCCCTGTTTAGTAAATCATAGCGTTTTCTGATTCAAAATGGTTGAGTCCACTATGGTACGTCCACTTCATCTCATTGATGCCACGGATGTCAGGTCTTTAAACATTCCATTTCATTTTGATGACCACCAATTTTCCTAGACTCATGCTCTGCACGTTCCAAATTCAGATTATTTGATGTTTGCTGCCATTTCCCCTTACGTTGGGTCACTGCCACCAGCGAGTGAAGATCCGAAGACCCTCTCCAAAGCCTTTCCTCCCTTCATGAAATAGCTCCTCGTCAGCTCCTC